GGGAAGTGTGTTCTGTATCACTTGTTTTTTAGTATCTACGTATTGTTGATAGCTAATGTCATGGGAAGTGTGTTCTGTATCACTTGTTTTTTAGTATCTACGTATTGTTGATAGCTAACATCATGGGAAGTGTGTTATGTATCACTTGTTTTTTAGTGTCTACGTATTGTTGATAGCGAACGTCATGGGAAGTGTATTCTTACCTATATCACTTGTTTTTTAGTATTTACGTATTGTTGATAGCGAACGTCATGGGAAGTGTATTCTTACCTATATCACTTGTTTTTTAGTATTTACGTATTGTTGACAGCTAACATCATGGGAAGTGTGTTCCTACCTGTATCACTTGTTTTTTAGTATCTACGTATTGTTGATAGCGAACGTCATGGGAAGTGTGTTCTGTATCACTTGTTTTTTAGTATCTACATATTGTTCATTTAGTCTTGGGAACAGGGTTGAAAGCTTTCATATAAAAAAAGAATTTATGTGGTGTAAACCTGTTTGTAGGTGTTTCAATATTATTTTGCAAGAAATTAATTAAATCCAGTTTTTTTTGTCAAACAGTATAAAAGAGGCTGTTGATGCTGTTTTTGGTTAATATAGCTATATTTAATTAACACCATGACTTTAAGTTATAATCTTTCATTATTCACATATTATATGATATATCTATTAGATAAAATTTCCTCAAATCTGGTAGATTTTTTATTAGGATGACTGCTAAATTAGACGTGCTTACACTTTTATTTTCAGTGATTATTTATTACAATTCTTATCTGTGATGTTTCAGGAAAGAGTGATATTAGATCCCTTGACTTACACTGAAGTTCGAACTCGACCAGCCTTAGAAGAGCGTCTGGAGAGCATTATCAGTGGAGCTGCTCTTATGGCTGACTCGTCTTGTACTCGTGATGACAGACGGGAAAGGATTGTTGCAGAGTGCAATGCTGTACGACAAGCGTTGCAGGACCTGCTTTCAGAATATATGGCTAATGTACGTTAGGAGTTGTAATTAAAGAACAAAGAGCCTCGTTTTAAGTTTAGGGTTTGTTTTAAAGACTTCTGGTCGTAATATTAATTCCAGCTCAAGCACCTGTAGTCTTTATAAGTTGAAACAGTATATTTTTTAAAATGAGGAAAGCTGAGAAAGCTAACTGATATCAATGCAACTTCAAACAGACAACTCTACTGCTTAACATAAAATGTGTAGAATTAGAAAAGTTTGTGAAATTATTCAAAAATGAAGTATATCAGAAAATAGATCATGATTTTCATGTTAGTACTACTCAATGACAAAAGGTAAATCAGGTCCATGAAATGCTGGAAAGTTTAACTTGTACATTTTTCCCCAATTCTTGTAACTATTTTAACTGTGCTTCATCACTTCAGGTTATCTTAAAGAAAAAATTATTTGAAAGTATTGTTTCTCTTAGTGTGTTTATGTGTGTTGGGATGGGGGGGGGGTGGTATATATATATATATATTGACTGAACAAAACATATCACAGGCCGGAAGAAAAGAACCTTCTGATGACTTAGACAAAGCCTTGGAGCATATGAACATAAAAACAAGGGATCTTCGGAGACAGCTGCGAAAGGCTGTAGTTGACCATGTGTCCGATTCCTTTCTGGAAACTAATGTTCCTCTTCTTGTACTGATTGAGGCAGCAAAGGCAGGCAATGAGCGTGAAGTAGGAGATTATTCACAAGTGTTTACTGAGCATGCCAACAAGCTGGTGGAGGTAAGTCTGCAGTGTTAATTAGATAATGTTATATAAGAAATAACTCAAACTTTTCAAGGAAAAACAACATGATGACTGGTTAACCAAGAATGGTCTTGTTGGTAGATTTAAAAAAAATGGAAAATTTAAAATTAAAGTTGCTATGACCTTAACCATTATTATGGTTTAACCCTTTTAATGATGGTTTTAAGTACAGTTGGTTTTTCTGTACATGTGATGAGATTGAACAATATTTTTTTCATTCACAAAATATATCCCAAAATAACACAAAGCAATAGTAATGTGGTATAATTAACATATCTGTGAACAAATAAACACAGAAAGTTTCAATAACCAAAATTTAACTATATTTCTATAGCTTTCCAATCTTTGAATTCATATTTATTGGAACATTTCAACAGTACTGTGGTACTGTAATAATAACAAGGTGTTTTGTCAGCACCTTGTTTGATTCTGGTAATATCAAGGTGTTTTCTCAGCACCTTCTTTGATTCTGGTAATATCAAGGTGTTTTCTCAGCACCTTTTTTTATTCTGGTAATACCAAGGTGTTTTTTCAGCACCTTGTTTGACTCTGGTAATAACAAGGTGTTTTTTCAGCACCTTGTTTGATTCACCATTTTGATTCATACAGCACAAATCTGGCAACAATTCATGTTTGACACACACACACACATCCATCAGCACAAACTAATGGATGTTTTTCTGCCTAAAGACTGTTGAAAACACTGATGTTTTTGGGCTTTGACTCTAACATAATAGATTAAATATTCTTATTTAGGCCTTAATTTTACAATATTTTTGTTTAGTTTTTTCTCTGTGTACTTAGCTTCTTCTGATATTTTTTACTATTGAATGGCTATTTTAAAGAAGAATAACAATAGCCATGTCTTCCTGTAACTGCCATGGAACCTTAAAACCTTAAACATTCTAATCTTTAATTGTAACTTATCTTGTGAAAAGACAAAATGATCAAGAATGTTAACATGTTAAAGATGATCATCAAATCAACATGGATCATGTATAGTACAAAAATTACTATATGATTAGCTTATGAAAGGGCATGTGTTACCTTATAATGTAAATTTTTTATAACTTGGCAAAAGTATGTAAGAAGTAAAAGATGTATTACAAAGTAAATTACAGTTATATGTAATAATTGTTTTTAACATGTTCAGATGTGCATATTTAGCATATGTTTGCATGTGCTCACAAGAGACGTGTGTTGTAAGTAAAATGTATTACTATTGTTTAAATTGGAAACACAACTATATTACACTAAAACTTTTATCTGCGGTTGCCATAAATGATGCCAAGCATCACAGCAGTTAACGTGTTAATTAGTATTAGAACTTTTACCAGTTTATCTAATTTGTTTTGTAAGAAATACCTTTACATTTAGTTTGTTGATCAAGGTGCACCATATTAGAAGCTGAAGTGCAAGAGATTGTTTTCCACTAGATTGTGGCTGCTAATCAAAACACATGTGATGCTTTTTTATGTATAATTTACCAGGTGGCTAAGCTGGCATGCTCTATGTCAAGTAATGAAGATGGTGTGAAGATGGTCTGGTATGCAGCTTCCCAGATTGAGAGTTTGTGCCCTCAGGTGGGTGAGAAGTTGGAGCTCATCATCTTCTGTTTACAGCTGTTGTACAATAATCAAAACTATATGTATTGTTGTAAGTGTTGATAATGCTTTCTATCCCTCTCTCTCTGCATATATATATATATATATATATTTATTTATAAAACATGTTTTGTAGAAATAGTATTTATTTCACTGTGTAAACATACATGGATTACTTGAATTTTTCACTAATTGTGGGGACATGGTCTGGTGGTTAGGGCATTTAACTCACAATCTGATTTGTGGGTTCACATCCGATGACTGAGCATATTCATCCTTTCAGTTGTAGGTGTGTTATAATGTGACAGTCAATCCCAGTATTTGTTGATAAAGAGTACCCTATGAGTTGACAGTTGGTGGTGTTGACTAGCTGCCTTCCCTCTAGTCTATCACTTCAAAATTAGGGTCAGCTAGCATGTATAGCCTTCAACTAGCTTTGCAAAAAAATTCAATAAACGAACATACAAACACTAGTTGTTGGACTTTCAGTTTACTAATGCAAAACATTTATATTTTGTCTATCTATTGTTGTGATCAATGTTTAAAACTTTCCATTTTGTTGCTAGGTTATCAATGCCGCTCAAATACTTGCAGCCCGTCCACGTTCCAAGGTTGCTCAAGAAAACATGGAGGCCTTTAAGGAAGCTTGGGAAAATCATGTTCGTATTTTGACTGAGGCTGTTGATGATATCACTACAATAGATGACTTCTTAGCTGTGTCAGGTAAAGGAAAAAAATAGCTTTTTTTTGTAGTAATCTTGTAACTTTTTCGTATCTGCACTCTGTTTTTTTTAAGGAAATTTAATAAAATAAATGTAAAGTATCATTAAAAAGTACTTCAGTACAATAAAGTCAACATGTTTGACTCTAAAAGTTGTACTGGGAAGAAAGTTAGAGGGGGGCATACAAATTTTTCATATAAATACCAAAATATAATTTAATGTAAAACAGTAATCATACACAATCAGTAATTATGAAAACAAAGAGGAGTCCTTCACAAGATAGGAGATAACATCTTTAACAGAAATATTGTCAGGTAAGTTGTTTTCAATTCACCATCATTAATGGTAGAATTAACACACATTAATTTAAATATTAAGGTGATGACAAAAGACAAATCAGTTATTTCTCTGTTGTGCTGACAGGACATTAATATATTTGTTTCACATACTTTTCCAAGGGAGCCCACTGTGATTTTTATCGATGAACAATCTGCAACTGTTGCCAGTACTTCTTTAATCATTGCCAGACTAACATGTTTAAGTGGTAATACACTAACTTATGTATTTATCATTCATGTTTCAGAAGTTTTACTGAAACTGGAAAAGAAACTACTAAAAGCATCATCAAAATTAGTTTATTTATTTAGCAACATGAGCAGACATAAAAGGCTTGTAAGTTACTATTTTTACTGAAAATGATTTGGTATTTAAAAATATTGTTCACATTTCAGGATGAAAATTGAAACCTGTTAGAAACTTTTTTTTTCAATCATTGGCATATTGAAATTTATATAAATATTTTTTCATGTATTATGTTTCAATAGACTCATTGTTGGATATGAAAAATGTTTATAGTAAACAACGTCATTGCACTGTCAAATTTACCAGGTATAAAAGGTAGGAATTGGAATGAAAATATTTACGAAAATTTAATCAGTAAAAGATTACAATTTCTTGATATTTTACACACACCCAAACATATGAGAAAACTATGGTTAAAATGATTAAACTTGAGAAAGAATCAAACTACCACTTACTTATTAATTATACCGGCCTGCAAATTTAAACTTCATAAAAATTGTTTTGGTTTTAATAATGGATTTTCCATAATTTAGCTACGCAGATTTCGGAAATAATATGCATTTTTTTCTAACACGTAAGAATTTTTTTACAAATTGGGAAGAGGAAAAACTCTTATTTAGATCAAATTATTATTTTGTGTACTACAATAAACATTTTTTATTATTATATTTGTTAACAAAAATACAAACTTCATATAGTTCACACCGTGGGGTTATTTATTAGTGTTGAAATAAATAATATGCTAATTATGATTTTTAAATGACAAACTCGTATACTTCACACCATGGTAGGTGTTCTTTGTGAAATTTGATATAAATAACCAAATGTGCACCAGGTCAGTTTCAATGGACTGACCCCATATTGGAGAAGAAATATTGACTATAATTCTGAAATTACTATATGCATCTACATGAAATCTAACAAACTTTTAGTCAAATGTTCAAGTCTGTTGTGTACAAAAAATTAAAATGTGTTATCAAAGGATTTTTACTCAAGATATGTCTGTGAATTGACATCTTTCTGACTCAAACTCTAACAAGTGGGAGTGCAAAGTGATGCTCTTTTGAATAATACTTTTTTTTTCTATTGTACAGTTTGCATATTGCATTTGCATAACCTTTAGGATCTCTAAAATGCATATGTACAGTTTTTTCATTATAGCTATATATTGTATCTAGTATTTACTTTCCTCTATCATTAACTGCTTGTTGCTAAATCAGTAGTGTAAGGTGAAAGGAATAGTTGATAACTTTGCAATCAAATACATAATAATATGTTAAATGGTACTCTGTAAAAGTTCATGGTATATGCATTTTGACCCCCAACCATGCATGTAGAGTTAACTATAAATAATGTTTCATCCACTATTGTGTTTGATCAGCCCTGGAATTGGATGAAAGGTGTTGTATAGACACTGGATGTAGTAAGTATAGTGTGGTTCACATATTGTTAGACATTCTTCTTTACTTTCATTATAGAGCTTATAAGTTCTTATTGATTATTATTTCTAGATAATCACATTCTGGAAGATGTTAACAAGTGCGTGTTGGCACTACAGGAAGGAGATCCTGACACTTTAGACCGAACTGCCGGAGCTATCAGAGGACGATCGGCTAGAGTCTGTAATGTTGTAACTGCGGAGATGGATAACTACGAGCCCGGTATTTATACTGAACGAGTTTTGGAAGCTGTTGCTGTATTGAGAGATCAGGGTTAGTGAATATTTAAAGTCCATTTACCCATTATAAGTTTATTAGACTAGTTTAGTAACAAAGAGCAAAAGTGTAGGTCTTTCTTGTGTACATTACACTGTGTATTAAAATCTCAAAGTCTTTAAGTACCAGGATCAAAGTAATTTCAGTGGATCTTTATATCAAATGCTGTCTTATTATAATTTTCTTTGTAGATTAGAAAGGTTAAGTATGTATAGAAGAAGAAAGATTTATGAATACATTTTAAAGATTCACAAATTATTTAGAATAATTCAAGAAGTATTTTATAATTTGAATATGATTTATGAAAAGTCTACAGATTTTGTTATACCCACCCCATTAACATTATGGCTGAAATTGGTACTGTTGCTGGTTGTTAGTGTTTTTATTATAAGGCTCTTTGTTTGAAAATATAAGGAAAGATTGTGTATTTTGTTATGATTTCCTATTCTGCATCACTGTCTGTTATGGTTTTAACATGATACATATATTCTTGTATGATACTGAATGGTTGTAAAGAATGCTTTTGATTTTATTCCCTAAATATTTTCTATCCCTTTGAACTTGCATTTCGTATGATAGAATAAACCAATAAAATGCTTTCAAAGATTTATTTTGTTTTTAAGTTGCTCTAAGAATGGTAGTGCTAAAATGTACCAGTAGATAGCACTGTTGTGAGTGATGTATTCTCTGATGTTTCTTGAAGTTCACTTCAAACACTAAATTATCATTCAAACATAGGTATGAATTCTGAAGCAGGGAAAAAATTCAGAGTCATTGGTTGATTAAGAACTTTTAATCTTTACTTGGTGTGGGGGTTTCTCTGTGAGTAACCAAAATGAATTAACTTGTCTAGCCTTGAACCTAAATTTGATTTGCCTCATGAATCTTGTATCCTTTCAATAATTATTCACTTATTAACATTTTTATACTAGTGAATTTAGGAACTGATTTAATGTGAAAAAGATATCATTAATTAATATATTTATTTGATGACATTGTTTTGTGTAGTCATGCCCAATTTTGCCCAGAGGGTTGAAATAGCAGTAGAAGCTTTGAGTTCACATTCATCAAAAGAAGTTGATGAAAACGAGTTTATTGATGCTTCACGTCTTGTTTACGATGGAGTCAGAGAGATACGAAGAGCTGTACTGATGAACAGGGTGAGTATACGTTTAGGACATTATTATCCATAGTTCTTATGAACAAGGGCTTGAAACCATACTGTTAAGTTTGAGCAATGTGAAATAATGTCTTGTTTATGATGGAGTCAGAGAGATAAGAAGAGATGTACTGATGGACAGTGTGAGTACCTGTTCAGGACATTATCAGTATTATCTGTAGTTCTTATAAACAATGACTTTAAATCACACTGATAAGTAAGACTGACCTTCAAGGTAAACGTATTTTTACTAAATCAACTTTCTATAGTAGATTGGAAAATTGAAATGCCCCTACATGTCCATGTATAATCCCTCTGATGTAACTACAGTAGCTATAGCATTGAAAATTATCCCTATATTTACCAACGAAAGTTAAATTAAAAATCCTTTTAATTGGATTTAGTTTCAAACTGCCATGTTTAAAGGCCTAGCCTTCCTGTCCATAGAACGAGTATGATTTTCAGTACAGGAATAATTGTTACTTTAATGACAAATTTGTTTGTTTGTATGTATGTAGCATTGTTGTTATTAAGCTTGAGTGAAAAGTATAGTAATGTTCTGATAAAGTTCTAAGCACATATTAAAAACATGTTGTAAATTGTGATTTATTTCCCATGAAACAAAGTGAAAGTGATAAAGATGTGTTATTATTACATTGTTTCAACAGTACATACATTGGTCCTTAAAAGCAGCGTAAATGTTGCTATAATGCTAATAAAACAACATTATTCAAAGATATTTATGTAAGCCTTGTTTGTTTGTTGTTTCAGACTCCTGAAGAATTGGATTCTGAAACAGAAATAGAATACGAGGAAAATACCTATGATACAAGGAGCAAGTGTATGTACTGGTTTTGTCTTAAAACAGTGTTGATTTGTGTGTTTACTTAAGCACGTTTCATCACACTTTACCTCCCATTATGAACATTATCAAGTATCATTGGGATCTGTTAGTTTTTTTTACCAAAATCCATTGTAGAGTTTCACCTATAACAAGCGTATCACTTAAACTTCTACATACATTATTAAAAGATGGTTGTGCATTTCAGTTTTTGTAACATTAAAAGAATCAGTTTATGAACAAAGTTGGTGTCTCCTTTAGGCAACATTAAATTAGATTTTGAGTAATATTCTAATGATTTGGCTTAAATGTATAACTATTAACTTCTGATCAGAGCAAGCTACCTACTTAGGTCAAACCTAATAATCAACCTGGTAATGAGCATAGCTATATAAATATACCTTTCTCATCTTCCTACCCTCATTTGTCTCTTCATCTGGGTACTCTCACAGTTAACAGTACTTTTGGCCATAAACTCAGTAATATCTCACAAGGCTCAGCCAGTGTAAGAGATTTTAGCTTGTCCTGAATTCATATACCAAGTCAATAATGCCATGACAGAGCTACATTCAACATAGTACCTTTGGTTGAGTTATTGTTTATAACTGTTGGACATTGTCTGTCATAACTGTTCCATAAAAGAAACAGAACTGAAAACAAGGTTTTAATTGTAACATAAACTTTGATTATTAATATGTCATTAAATGTAAATAAAACAGTTAGTTCAAACAAACTGTAATTACTGTTTTTAGTTTCTTTTTAAAATGAATGCCAAGTGTGTGGAACTTGCAGAGTTGGTAAGTTTTTCTACTAGAATAAAAATGTTGCAAGTGTTGTATAGCTTTTGTTAAATATGTGCAGTTTATGTTTCCTTATTCTCATTTTGTGAAACTTTACTTAAAGAGTGGTTAGTTGTGGATGAATATCTCGTTTTTGTGGAGCAGTTCCTGTTTAAATAACCAATAAGAACTGTTCAGGTGTCAAGTGCACACCTGCTTATCACACTTGAAAATAGCTTTGGGCAAAGTTTACCATTGGATAGAGCAATGTACATTGTATAAAGTGGTGTGAGTTGTAATTGATGGCTTTGTGAAAGTTACTAAATGGCTTCACAGAAGTGGAATCTAATTGGAAATTTAGAAGACAGATACAAATCACAGATATAGGAATCTTTTTATAATTTCTTAGATGTTATTTTCATTTTTGAAAATTCTCATGTTAATGTATGTATATGAAAGTTATGTAAATTTTCTTCTATGGCAGAAACATCAGGTAAGCTTTGTTAGGCTTAGTAAGGGTGGTAAGAAATGGTAAGAATATTCCAATGAGTGAAATCTTTTTTGTTAAGTATATCAGATACAAACAATGCACATAAATAAAAGAATAATATATAAATTAATCTCAACAAAGAATATGGTTAACCAAATATTATTACCTAACCTGCTATAGGTGAAAAGTTGGATGAAAGGTCACTACTAAATCTTTAACAGTTTTTATTTTGTTTTTTTTTTATTTATATGCATAAATGGTGATAACTGCTGTACCAAAAGGAATATTTAATAAATATTAATCAAGTTGAAATTTACAGGATATACAGGAATGGAACTTTCTAACCAGAAACACCAGACATAGCCCGGTGGTTAGGGTACTTGACTTGTAATCTGCGGGTCTCATGTTTGATTCCCCGTCACTAAACATGCTCGTCTTTTCAGCTGTGGGATGTTATAATTTGATGGTCATTCCCACTAATCATTGGTAAAAGAGAAGCCAAAGAATTGGCGTGGGTGTTATTGACTAGCTGCCTTCCCTCTAGTCTGTCTCTGCTAAATTAGAGATGGCTGGTCCCTTTCAAGTATCTTTGGGTGAAATTCAAACAAACTAACCAAAATTTTTTTAAACTTTATACTGTAAGATGAAGTATTTCTAATATTTTTTTAATATCGTCTCACCACAATTTGTAAATTTCACAACATAAGAAATGATAACAAATAAATCAAATTATATGAATTTTTTTAAGCTGAAACTAAACACTATTTAGAAAAGTTGTACTAAATTTCACACAATTCAGATAGGAATTTGTTATGTAAGAAAGAAAAATATCAAGATGTCATTGACACCCCACTGGGCCAAAAAGAGTTAAATGAATATCTAATGCAGTGCCTATTTAAACAGATTTTTATGTAATAAAATACCAGTTTAAATTCTCACTTCATACCACTAGTTATGGTTTTATTTCAGTTTGAGTTATTTCTTAGTTATTTTTGTTATATACATTTCTGTCCTAAATGGTTGATATGTCTTACATTTGAAAGCAATAGCTCAAAATATTGGTAATAGTGAGGTACCCAACTGATCTCACATTGCATTCTAATAATTTTAAGTTTTGTTTAAAATAATGCATACTGCTACTAAGACTGGTATATTAAATTAACCACATGAATTAATTGGTTAATTCTTGGTTCTGATCTGTTTAGATAGCTTGTTTTCATCAGAAATTATTGATGCACTTAAATATTGACAAATGTTTTAATTTCAGTAACTGTTTAATTAATTTGTGATTATTTAAGTAAACATTCAAGTGACATTTGTGTAACACGTTTTTTTCTTCACCTGTAGCGAGCGCACACACCGATTTTGATGAATATCCAGAAATCAGTGGTATTAGTAATACTAGGGTAAGTTTAGTACTGTTTAGTAGTAAGTACTGGTTTTAAGTGTCTGTGTCATTGGGTGTAGTTATGTACACTGGTTTTTATACTTATTTTCTATGTGGCCATCAGTATTTCAAAAAAAGACTAGTTTAATGTAATGAAATTCAAGTATAATTCATTCTTTGACATTGAATAATACCTTACAGCCTTTGTAATGGTGTTTTCTAGGATTTGGCAAATATTTGTGTTATGTGTATAGTGTTTTTAGTTGTCTGTTACTTAGTATAACAAGCCTGTATTTTTTATAGGATTTGAAGAATGTGTAGCATTCGTGATAGTAATTTTTACATGTGTATATATCTGTAGATCTGTTCAACTGTTTTATGTACCATATTCAGCTAATAATTGTACTTGTAATGATGAGCCATTATATATATATGTATGTGAGTGTGTGCATTAGCACCCATCACCCAGAGTTAGTTGGCTCAATTACCATAAGTTTTAACATAGTAACTGAAAACTGTTTGATGATATACCTGGACTATTTTGATTTAGAAATGGGGAATATATCCACTTTTTTATATACTATTGGCTAGCTCTATTAGTGAGACTTTATGTATGATAATTCTAAACTGCCCGGCAGTATTCACAGGCTATTTTTTCCCCCAAGAAGGGGGATAAAAAATGTCCTGAAATAGTGCACATTTTATGTTTTGGCTATACTGACATCCATTGTTTAGCAAGCATTCTATTATCAAATTTTTTGTTTTAAAGTGGTTTTCACATTAGCAAAAGTTTCTGATTACAGCTCAATAGCAATTTTTGATTTAGCCCAGTTTTGAAATAGAAAATGAGACTATAATCCAACTGCACATGTATAAGATATGCCATATGCTCAGTTTATCTCATGGTGACATCATAGCAGCATCATTCTGCGCAGCAGTATGCTCTTATTTTCAGGTTTATTTTATTGTTTTATATACTTCTTTAATGTTTAGAAGTTTCTATGTCCAGAAAATGTTTGGTCAGGAACATATCCAACACCCCACCCACCCCTTATTATATGTATTCCTATGGGAAATTGATTTTCATTTAGCACCATGTTTTTCAGGAATGCATTAATTGTGATAAATGAAGGATGCTGGATTAGATTGCAATTATATTCAATATTTCACTGTTCTATTTTACAAATCAAATTCACTCAGATATTAGTTCTTTCATCTTCATCACATTGTTAAAGAAAGGGAAAATTATGCATTCTAAATAGTTATTATTTTGGCTTTGTGGATCAAATTATCTGGATCTTTATTTTTTATTATTAATATTTTTGGGGTATGCAGAGGAATCCATAAACATGCCTTACCATGTTACTTTAGCTTCAGAGCTATGCTATGATATTATTATCTCTAATATCAGTTTTCTTAAGTATAAACATAAAAGCTTATCAGTTAAAATAATTGTAATTTAACCAAATTCCGAAAATTAATTTTTTCTTGAATTTTCACATTCTATCTATATTTGTTGGTTAAAGTAATTTAGCCTACAATGAAAAACATCTACCATTGCTGTTAAAGTGTAAAGGAACAAAAAGCTTGTTATTAATTTTTGTTCTTTAATTTAGATTAAATGAGGTAAAATCTATATAAATATATTTTGTAACATTTGTGTTAAAATTCCTCTTTGTTTTTGGTAGGATGCATACCGCTACGTATCTGAGGAGGAGAAGCAAAAAATAGCAGCTCAGGTTGAAACATTCCGTACAGAGAAAAGTAAGTTTGATCGAGAAGTAGCCAAGTGGGATGACACTGGAAATGATGTCATTGTCTTAGCCAAAGAGATGTGTGTCATCATGATGGAGATGACAGATTTTACTCGGTAAGAAATCATCCAATTATTGGTACCTCACAATAACTGTGGTATTATTTTAACTAACACAGATATTTTGCATTGCCTTAATTCCTGTTATATTTCACTCTTTGTACAACAAATATCAAGGACGTAAATGTTAGCTTAAATTATATAGGTCAACTTTCAAAATATGTTGAATTATTTAAAAAGTTTAAATTCAAAGTCTAATACAGCTTTTTATTTTGATAGTTATCAGTGTAAAAATCAACAAAATGTTGTGTTCCTTATTAATCTACAAATTAGGCCTAATTATAACCAAACAATTTTGTTAGTCATATTCTGTCTCGAGAAGTAGACCTGTACTACCTGTTGTCATTATTTTAGTTGGCAAAATGTTCCTAGTATAACAAATTTATCCCTCTAAGTAGAATAGAGTAATATAAATCTAACGTACAATGTTTTTTTGCCTCACCCATGCTAATGTATAATGGTTTTTTTTGCCTCACCTAAGCTAACATACGATTTTGTTTTTTGCCTCACCCAGAGGTAAAGGACCACTGAAAACAACCATGGATGTCATCAATGCAGCTAAAAGAATCTCAGAATTTGGAACAAAAATGGACAAACTTGCACGGACTATTGCAGATCAGGTAGATGGTTCATTCTGCTAAACTTTCTACATGGCATTAATATTCTTGTTAATTCATTTCGGTTACAGAATAAATCAAGAGTGTTTTGGTATTAGTAATTATAAGGCACTAAATTTTCACAAAGAAATGTGGGTTTGGTGAAATGTTCAAGTTTCTCCATAACTTTGAGGAATTTGGGTTTCAGTCCAAATAAAATAGGTACAAGATAAGCTAGAAATTGAACATAGAAACAGGACCCATAGTGTTGGTATAGGTGTAAATGTATGTAAATACTTATGGACATCCTGTTTCCTATATTACCAGGCTTACACGGTAACCAATAAATATTTCAAGTAATATAAATACTGGTCATTTTAGTTGGGCTAGTATTCATGGCTTAGCCTTTTTGATTGTAACTTGAGAAACAAGTTATTCACCAGCAAACTGCAAGTTCAACTGGGTATTTATGTAAAGATGTTCCTTTTCATGTGTTAATATCAGTTGATCAGTGATAAATTTATTTCTTAGACTTTGACAAACTACATAAATAAACTTTTTCTGAATTGCCAAGTCTTTAGTTTTGTATAATTTGTTTTTATTCTACCTCAATGTAAACGAATAGAAAAATAACACAAGTTTTTACTTTATAAAATACAGTAACATATTGGCTACCATACAGTACATATATATAACAAATGTTTTCAAATAAATACTGTTGCGTCTCCGTTTGTCAATTAACTTTCCGTAACTTCGTTCCGACGAAACTTTAGCGACACAAGTCCTTACTTAATAAAACTGGTTTATTCTTTCTGAATATAACTTCACGATACACTTATTTTCAACAGTCGCTCTTTTACAAACGTTTTAACAACGAACGTTAACTTCAACAATACGTCTCTCTCTGACTGCAGTTCAATTACTCACACACACATTGTTCCGTCACGTTGTGAGCGTCTTATTTATATACCAGACAAACATATATGTAGTAAATGCTAGGGCATTCACGAAGGAACAAGATACTTCTAGAAAGCAGGTGGCATGACAATGGTCATGTGATCTCGCTGACGCAACAAACATAAAACAGTAAATAAAGAATATTTGGAAAACAATGATCTCTACTACTTACAATGCTACAAAGTCCTTGTTTGCACTCGTAAGACATACTTGCTAAGTCTCGTCCAAATTCACAGGTGGAGATGGAAACATAATAATTTTTGTAGACTTTATATAAGCATTTTGGAATTTAGTCAGGCTCCTAACTAAATTGTATTTAAGTCTAAAAAAAATATAATTTCTATTCACAAATAGCCTTGATAGGAAGATGACAGAATTATGTAGAATAAATATATAGCTTTCGATTTATTATAAAGTTATTGGTAAATAAAAGTAGGAGCAGATAAATAAGTCTTCTCAAATGATGAAGTGGTGGGCGGAGCCAATATGGTGGGTTTGCTAAATATCATGATATCTCGGCAAATAGAAAAGGTAGGAGATTCTTATTTTATATTCTAGCTTGCCAATATCAAACATTTGAGTTTCTAATTCATACGAAACTATAGACATTGTATTGTGGGCATCATAAAATGTAATCTGACCAAACCCAGAAAGCCACGTACCATGTGACACAGAAAAATTGATATTTAGCTTTTCCCTTTTTAATATTTAGTTTCAAATTAAAAAACTAATGTATAAGACTAAAATGTGAATTATAATCTACAATTTGATACTAAACTTATTGACACACATTTATAAAATAATAGCAAAATGAAATGTTCAATGTAAATCTACAAGTAGTGAAGTATTTATAATAAACTAAAATAAAGATTTGTCCATAAATATATTGAGTATTTGTTTTGAATAGTCTGTGTGCAAAGTAATTTTCATGTTAAAATTAAAAATACTTTTCCTCATCTCAAAAATCTCAAATTTCTTTTGTGTAATTCCTAAAACCTCCTGAATGTATTTCAAACGTTTTTTTCAGTAAAACTTTATAGTTTATCAGTTATTTTCTTTACCATATCTCAAATGGAATTGGTCAATTAGACCAACCTTGTAACCACCAAAAAAAAAACTCTAAATAAATCTAAGTTACCTTATTCTTTTTGTCTAGAATGACTTCAAATTGTAACATGAAACTACATTTGTATATCCTAAGTAGCTCTAAGTTTGTAATGATATACCTCTATTTATAATTAAATTTTATTGTTTATTTGCCCTTTGAACCATGTCTAATTACTATCTGCGCCATTATAGATTGTAAATCAGTTGGGGAAAGTGCAGCTCACATTATGCTAATGAATTACATTACTCGCAAGCTGCTCGTGAAACATTTTTATTATGTTATTATTATTATTTATTTTATCTAATCTTATTTTAGCTAACCTAAAAGGATCCCTATTTTTACATGTTAGTTACTTTTATAATTAGATATATATAAAGACTAAACATGAAAAACAAGAAATAAAAATTTAACCAATCTCTTTTTTTTTTTGCCATCAATTGTTGAAGAGAGTTAACCCTAATTTTTTATACTAATGATAGTAATGCACTTAAATAATTTTTATTTAATTAAGCAATGCACCAAATAATATAGACTAATAAAATGCAAAAAGTAGACAAATTCATCCAAGCTGATCGTTAACTTTCTCACGGGAACGATGTTTGTACTCTGAGGGAAATTCAGAACATAAAGTTATACAATACATCATTTGATAAATGAAAACCTTGACTTTCTATTGGTTATAGATAATACATAATTTAACATAACAGAGAACTATTAACAAATTCTTAGAGAGGTTGTGACATGTAGATGTGGCAGGAGAGGTCTAATTTTCTATTTGATAGTTCTGTAACCAAACAAAATTGAAGACTTTAAAAATTATGCTTTGTCTGAGCAATGACCTTTTTATAGAGTAATTTACTTTAATTTTGTACTTTTTTCTAGGGGTGGTGGATAAAAAAGGGAAGATGACATGCTAAAAGAA